AGGGAGCCAACTTCTTCGCGGCAATGTAAAGGGCATAGACGACCTTCTCGAGTCGGGAGTACCGGAGCTCGGGACCATGTAGCGCGTGGCTTACATAGTACACCGGTCGCTGGACCCCTTCCGGATCGGTTCGGCACAGAACTGCGCTTACTGCACGATCGGAGACGGCGAGGTACACGTCTAGCTCTTCTCCGAGCTCGGGCTTTGAGAGCACGATCGGTGACATGAGATACTCTTTCAGCTCGTCAAAAGCCGCTCGGCATTCTTCGTCCCAGACGAATCCATTAACCTTCCGCAATACCTTGAAGAAAGGTAAAGCGCGCTCGGCTAGCTTGGAGAGGAACCGGCTGAGGGCTGCCAACCGGCCGGTCAATTGCTGGACCTCCCGAACGGTGGAAGGTGGCTGCATGTCCAGAATCGCTTTTACTTTGGCCGGGTTAGGCTCGATTCCCCTCTTGGTCATCATATAGCCGAGGAACTTGCCGGTCTGAACCGCGAATGTACACTTGGTCGGGTTCAGCCGCAACTGGTACTTCCTCATGATCTGGAAGCACTCCCGAAGGTCCTGAGTGTGGTCAGATCGGTCCCGACTCTTGACCAACATATCATCGATGTAAGCTTCCATTGTTCGGCCCAGCAGATCAGCAAAGAGCATGTTGACCATCCTTTGGTAGGTCGCTCCTGCGTTTCGGAGGCCGAACGGCATCACTCGGTAACAATACAGCCCATCCGGGGTCACGAAGGCTGTCTTGCTTTCGTCTTCATGGTGCATCATGATCTGATGGTATCCCTTAAAGGCATCCATGAAGCTCATTAACTCGGCCCCAGCCGTCTCGTCGACCATCTGATGAATGCTCGGTAGAGGATACGGGTCGAGCGGACAGGCTTTGTTGAGGTCGGTAAAGTCGATGCACATCCTCCATGCTGGGGGCTTAGGAACAAGAACAATATTTGCCACCCACTCAGGATAGACCACCGGACGGATGTGCTCCATCGCCGCCATCTTTTTGACTTCTTCTCTTACAAACTCGCGGCGATCGGAGGAGAGGTGTCGTGTCTTTTGCACGACCGGCTTAGCTGCGGGATCAACGGCCAATTTGTGACAAATGACCGACCGATCGATCCCGGGCATGTGTTCAGGCCCCCATGCAAAAATATCGGCGTACTCCCGGAGCACGGCCAGAACTTCCGCTCGGAGCTCGGGAGTGAGGGCCCGGCCAATCTTAATCTTCCTGTCCGGGCGGTCCTCGGACAGGGGAACTTCGTCAATTTCTTCGGAAGGCTCAGGCTGCTCCTTCCGTTCCTTAGCCTCCTCCTTGGCTATAGTGTTCACCCGGGAAGACGGACCGGAATCACGTCGATTAACCGCTCGGGTGTAACACTTCCGGGCGGATTGGACATCGCCACGGACCACGCCGACTCCGTTGGGGGTGGGGAATTTCATGCATAAGTGAGGCATAGAAATTATCCCACCGATCTTCATAATGGCGGGTCGGCCCAAAATAATGTTGTGGACGCAATGGAGGTTGACCACAACAAATTCCAGCTCCGTTTAGATCGACTTTGGAGGCGTGCCGATCTCGACCGGGAGCGTTATTTTTCCCTCAGGGTAGATAAGAGCCCCGGTAAATCCTGACAGTGGTACACCGACCGGAGTCAGCTCCTTCCTGTCAAGGCCAAGCTTCTCAAACACGACCAAGTATAGGACGTTCACGCTACTGCCCGTGTCAACCATAACCCTTTGGACATCCGTCCCCTTGACGTCAATCGTGACCACGAGCGCCTCCATGCCGTGATCACTGCTGGTGGGTTGGTCCTCGAGGGTGAAGGTTATGGGCTCCATCTTCTGCCTCTTCCCGGTCTCCCGGGAATCCACTACTGCGACCGGGCAATTTGTCCGCGGTCGGGAAGCATCTTCCAGCCCACCAAAAATGACATGGATGGTTGGTTTTCCGGACGGGCGGCTACCGGACGGAGGGTCAGGGTCCCGTCGGTCATCATGACGATCGTCCCTTCGATCGTCTCTTCGGTCCTGGCCCGACCGATCAGAGCGGTGACGAGATCGTCTGTGATCCTCCGATCGGTATTTCTCTTGCTGTCTTCTCTCTTTCCCACACACTTGTCCAATTTTCCCAAATTGAGCAAATCTTCCAATAATTGGCGCAAGTGGGTACACTCCTCGGTGTCATGCCCGGCGCATCGATGGTAAGCACAGTGCTTACTCTTGTCAGGGCCGTCTCGATCGGGATGGGGGAGTTTGATGAGATTGCAGGACTGAGCGTACTGCATGGCCTCCGCCGCGGATCGGTTTAAGGCCGTAAACTCGCCAGGCCTGGTGCGGGATCGGGGATGGTCATCTCCCGACCGATGTTCCGCCCGGCCGGCCGGTTTACGGGACGAAGAGCCGACCTCCTGCAAGCGCTTGACGGCATTCGCCTCACCTGCGTTGGCGTAGTCAGTGACCCTTCGGAGGGCCTCCTCATATGTGGTCGGGGGGTGGAGGATAAAATCCTGGTACAGATACCCCGCCCGGAGGGAGATGTGAAGCATGTGAGTGGCGGTCGCGTCATCCATGGGCTCGACCTCCCCGACTGCTGCCTTCCACTTGATGAGGAAGTCGGTCAAGCTTTCCCCTTCGAGCTGCTTGGCCTTTTCGAGGTACATATAGGACTTCCTCACCACTTTGGAAGTAATGAACTTCCGTACAAACTTGATCGCCAGGGTCTCAAATTTGTCGATTGACCCCGGCTGCAGGGTTCGGAACCATTCTGCCGCCCGACCGGTGAGGGTTGAGTAGAAGGCCCTGCACATCACGGCGTCCGAAACGCCCTTCAGCATCATATTGCTGAAAAAATCGTTCACGTGAGCCTCAGGATCTGTCCGACCGTCGTAACTCTTCTCTCCCGAGACCTTTAAGTCGAGCGGGTAAGGCTGAGCCATTACCGCTGCTGTGAAAGGCGTCTGGTGTAGGGTCGATCGGTCGGCCGGGGGTGCTGTGGGATACGCACTCCTGAGCTGCGCAACTTCAGCCTGGAGGTTGTAGAGCAAACCTCGGGTTTCGTTGAGCTCGGCGGCTTGTGCGGCTTGGGCTGTATCCCGAGCGCGTCGCCGTCGGTGAGATCTCGACTCGCTATACCCGGATGAAGCCTCATGGTTAGCTTCCTGCATTTGTACGTCCTCTTGCCCGCGATTCGGGTCTTGGGGTCCCAGACGCTGGCGCATCTCTGGTCGGAGACGATCGAAAGCTACCGCTCGGGCAGCCTCTTCAGGGTCCTCCGCTTGAACGGCCTGAACTGGTGCCTCCATCGCATCAGCACCCCCCGACCCCAACCGCGAATGAGCCGAGCGTCGAGCCCGGGAAGTGGACTGACGCTGCGGCTCTACTCGTGCGGTCGGCTGTACTGGAGGGGCGGCGGCTGGAGCTGTATAAGCTGGCGTATATGGTGGATAACCAACCGGGGAAGTGTAGCACATCGGTTGGCCTGGCCAGTACCCATACGGTGGAGGTGGGACCGGGTATGAATACTGGGCGGGATACATCATCGGCGGCTGCTGGTATGGCAGACCGGGTGGTGGGTATCCCGGTTGTATGTAATTCACCGGCTGCTGGGCGGCCGGGTATGTATTCGACGGATGTGGTGGTGAGAGATTGAGGTTGAGGTCCATTGTTTGACCCTGCTGTTGGGTAGCGTAGTGGTCGGAGGAGCTCGCCACATCCGCCTGGTCGTCGGCGAAGTTGTTGTGCGCCCACGGATACATGTCGATATGGTGATCGGGTGCTCGTCAAGACGTTGGTTTCTTGCACGGGTCCCCACAGCCGGCGCCAAAATGATACTGCTAATTCTACGTAAGCAATATAAAATAACACGAGACCAATTAAAGCAAGTACAATCTTTATTGATCCCGGTAAAGGCCCTAAGTACAATCTACTTGGCTGCTCTGAGTACCGACTGACTGCGGTCGGGATTCTCTAACAACAACCTATCGATCGTCCAAAAGTCCCTTACACTGTAGCTACTGTGGGTATTTATAGTTGCTAGGCCGGGGACAGGATTCCAGCCGTTCGGCATGTCCTCCACGTAGCCACCACGTGTCATCCTCCCGGGTGCCCTGCCTGTCGATGTAAAGAGCCGCCACGTGTCCTTCGTCAGCTCTTTCGCCGAAGGGCTACCGCTCGGTGGTCGACAACGTCGCTCGGGCAACTCCGGTCGGTCTACGACCGGGTTCTTCTTGTGGAGCCCGACCTGTTACCTGCAAAGACAAGGAGAAAGAGACAAAGGCTCCTCGGTCGTGGTGAAGCTATGTCGGTCGGGATATTCCCTACCAAAGACATAAATTCGTAAAATAAGACACACAATATGTTATGTGTTTCACAACTACTAATCTATTTCAGGTACAGAATCCATACGCTTAAGGTACAAGAAAAACATAACACATGTTTTATATTTACTTTAATTCAGGTACATAATCAATATTCTTTAGGTACAAAATCGCATAACATAAGACACAAAAAACGCATAACATAAGACACAAAAATCACATGTTATATTTACTTTATTTCAAGTACAGAATCTATACGCTTAAGGTACATAATTACATAACATGAGACAAAAAAATGCATAACACAAGACACATACACATACTTTACAATAAATAAATAAAAAGAAAAAACAAAACTTATAACGTTAACTGAACAACAAATGATCACTGTCAAAATTAAAATTCAAAATGATGTTATATAGAACCAGCGTCCACAATTCAATGTGTACTCTAGTCCACGGTATAACGATTGCAACCGATATAATATGGTCAAAATCTCGAACGATATTCATAAACAGAAAAGCCCAATTTCACAATTTCGATCAAATCGGAGCATTCTTCTATCTGATGCTTAAGCTGTAACTTTTAATCCGAGTTGACTCAGCCATGACTACACCATCTTGAGTACTGAACCGACTACTGCCACGCCTGATTTTCAAGTGAGTTGTTTTTACTTTTTACCGAAATTTCGAAGTTCTACTCTGTTTATTATGGCAGAAAGTGGAATTCGATTAGGATTTCTCCTACATGTCTTTCTCTCTCCTTTTTTTTTTTTTTTTTTGGTCGAAATTAGAAAACAATTCAGTTTTTATCCTACAACTTAATGCAGAAAATACCAGAAAACTAGAAATGAAATCATTGGAAGGGCTGAGGCTCTACTTTTTTTGCTCCACTTTACTATCTCTATTCACACTTTGCACCTCAGCAGACACCATAACACCAGATCACCTCATCACAGATGGTACTACTATAGTTTCAGCTGGTGGCAACTTTGAACTTGGATTTTTCAGCCCTGGGAAATCCAAGAATCGATATGTTGGCATTTGGTACAGCAAGATACCAACTAAGGATGTGGTCTGGGTTGCTAACAGAGATACTCCGCTAAACAACACTTCTGGCAAGCTATTGCTCAGAGACAATGGGATCCTAGTACTCCTAGATGGTAGCAAAGAAGAACTCTGGTCATCAAATTCATCAATATCCTTGAAAAATCCAGTGGCTCAGCTTTCAGACACAGGAAATCTTGTTGTGAGAGAGGGAAATGACCATACTTCCAAAAATTCCGCCTGGCAGAGCTTTGATTATCCTGGTAATACTTTGCTACCAGGCATGAAGCTAGGCCGGAACTTAGCCACTGGTCATGTCTGGTACCAGACCTCGTGGAAGAGCGCTGATGATCCTGCTGTAGGTGAATACACAGAAATGATAAACATTAATGGATTCCCTGAAATTTTTGAGATCAGAGGTGCAAACAAGTCTCCTCTTTATAGGTCCGGGCCTTGGAATGGAGAGATGTTTACTGGCGTGCCTAAAATTAAAGATAATCCCTACTATACGTTTGAGTTTATTATGAATGACACAGAGATTTACTACACATATGAGCTTATAGATAGCTCAGTTCCTAGCAGGGTTGTAATGAATCCAACTGGCATCATTGAACGCTTAACATGGATTGAACGCACCAAAAGCTGGATTGTTTACTTGACAGCACAGACAGATAACTGTGATCGTTATGGGATGTGTGGAGCTTTTGGCAAGTGCAATATCAACAGCTCCCCACCCTGTGACTGTCTGAAAGGATTTATCCCAAAATATCCACAAGATTGGGAGGCAACAGATTGGTCAAATGGGTGTGTCCGGAGAACTCCTTTGGATTGTGGGGATGCTGACAGATTTCTTATATACAGAGGTGTAAAATTGCCAGACACACGCCATTCCTGGTATGACAGGAGCATTGGCCTTGAGGAATGTAAGGGATTGTGCTTGAAAAATTGCAGCTGTACGGCTTATTCTAATGTAGATATAAGAGATGGTGGAAGTGGATGCTTGCTCTGGTTTGAAAACCTAACTGATATTAAGGAGTTGGATAAAGTTGAACAAGATCTGTACGTGAGGATTGCTGCATCAGATTTTGGTAAGAGTATTTATTAATGTTGCAGAAGGTGCTAGGCGCTAGCGGCCTATATCGTCTCCACTTTTCGCACTTAGGGTTGTGAGTTGTTAGACTGTTATAATCCTCCAAACTAGTCAACTACATATGTTAGACGATTAGTGGAGTACATGGTTGGAGGAATACAGAAGAGGAGCAGCCGAGCAGACAAAAAATACTACTCGTCCAAGTTGAGTGTCGACTCGGCCAAGTTAGGCACCCAACTTAGTGTGGCGCCTAGTCGGCCGGCTGACTACAAGCCGCCTAGAGCTGAAATCATCTCAGCCTAGGGGCGCCTAGGCTGATTTTTACAACACTAGTATTTATTTCCTTGTGGTACTACAGTTAATTTCTGCTATGGTGCAAAATTCTTTATAACATAGTACTAGTGCAGAGCAAGCTAAACCAGCTAAGGATAGAGTTTCTTTCAACCTTGCTTGATTTTCAAGAGCATTTTACACTTACACAGATCATATTCTTGATCAATCTACTTATGTGGCACCACATTTGAAGTTCTATGGCTAACAGGATGGGAAATAATTCATGGCAGATATCTCTCAAAATGGACAGAAGAAACAAGAGGTGATGAAGATAGTTATACCGACAATTTCAGGGATACTTACTCTAAGCTTTTTGGTTTGGTTTGCACTATATAAAAGGAAAAGAGGTCAGATTTTTTACCACCTTAAATATGCAATGTTGAGTGTCAAATATTTTCAGGCATTACTACTAGCTGAAGCACAACTTCTGGCTTGACTAGCTGTTTTTAGAAATGATTATGCTACAGTATTAAGTGTCAAATATTTTCACGCCAAACTCTTCATTCACTGCAATGATTTCTAAAAAATCTTCTATTTCCTATTTTATAGGAGCTGAGATTGGCAAGGAAGACTATGATTTACCATTATTCACTTTGGAAACTGTAGTCTCTGCAACAAACAACTTTTCTTCTGATAATCTTATTGGAGAGGGTGGATTTGGACCTGTTTACAAGGTATTGAATTGCACAAAACTTGGGCTCTTTTAGTCATGCTGAGGAATCAAAGACAATATTACATGCTATGGTAAAACTATTGCAGGGTAAGCTACCAACTGGAACAGAAATAGCGGTCAAGAAGCTTTCTGAAAATTCTGGCCAAGGTGTTAAGGAGTGGGAGAATGAAGTGAGCATAATTGCCAAACTTCAACATAGAAACCTTGTCACGCTTCAAGGTTGCTGCGCCGATGAAGGACAAAGGATACTAATATATGAATATATGCCAAACAATAGCTTGGACTACTTCATATTTGGTTAGAATTTCTTGACTTCTAAATCGAAAAAACCAGCAATATGACAATAGCTACTAAATTTCTCAAAAAAACTGAATCAACAATAATATGTATGCAGATGAGAGCAGAAAAAGAATACTTACCTGGCAAAAACGCTTTGAAATTGCTGTGGGAATATCCCGTGGACTCCTTTATCTTCATCAGGACTCCAGATTCAAAATTATACATAGAGATCTGAAGGCGAGTAACATATTACTGGATGCTGAATTGAACGCCAAGATTTCTGACTTTGGCCTTGCTAGAATTGTAGGAGAAGATGATGCTCTGGCAAGAACAAAGAGAATTATAGGAACATAGTAAGTTTCATTAGCATCAAAACATTAATGCACTGTGCTAATCAATTAATAACTTAAGTTGGTCTGTTGGTGTTGATGTTTGACACAGTGGTTACATGTCACCAGAGTATGCTATAGATGGCAACTTCTCTGTAAAATCAGATGTTTTTAGTCTTGGAGTGATTTTTTTGGAACTCATTAGTGGAAGGAAGAACCGGACATTTCATCATTCAGATCATCACCACAACCTTCTGGGTCATGTAAGTATATGTGATTTTGTACCTTTTTTACAAATTTGTTGAATCAGATGAATAACGAGTTTGGTTATACTATACTGTAGACATGGCTATTGTGGAATGATGGTGACCCTATAGAACTAATGGATAATTGTGTGAAAGACTCTTATGTGGAATCTCAAGTGCTAAGATGCATTCATGTAGCTCTTCTTTGTGTTTCGAAACTACCAGAAGACAGACCAACAATGGCATCAGTAGTTTTCATGTTGGAGAATGAGGAAGTGGCTTTACCTCAACCTAAAGAGCCAGGTTTCTTTGTGGAAAGGAATTCAACTGAAGCATCTTCCAAAAATGTGGAAATATACCACTCTGAAGTTGCAAAGATGACATTCAGCATTCTTGAACCTAGATAAAAACAACATATAATTTTTTGAGTGGGTACATAACCAAAATGGACACTTTAAGATTAAGATTAAGATTGTATCTCTCCATATCATTTCATCTTATCCAACAGAGTGCAATTTTTCCACTTTATCTCCACTATATATATATATATATATATATATATATATATATATATATATATATATATATATATATATATATATATATATATATATATATATATATATATATATATATATATATATATATATATATATATATATATATATATTGCATCAAACTTAAATATTTGTATGTTAGTATATTCAATAATAGTGCTTTACTAAATTTTCAAGCTAAACTTAATTTTATTAGTCCTATATTTATTTCATTGAATTAAGTATAGAACAACCAATTAAGTCTAATCTAATCAAAATATTAATTATTGAGAAAAATGCATTTTGAAGCAAATACACTGCATGTTCTTTTTGTCAAAATTGCATTAATGGAGGAGGTTTCATTTCATTAATTAAGAATCTCTTCATTCAAGAAACAAGAGTGCCATTGGCCACTTGCTTTTCCTTTTTTGTCAAAGTCGCTGATTTCTGAACATCATTAGCTTTTCTACCCTGTACAAGATTTATAAACTTCAATCATAAAATCTGAGAAGAAAACAGAAAATGAAATTAATGGGGCAAAGGCTCTACTTCTTTTGCTCCATTTTACTCTCTCTATTCACATTTTGCACCTCAGTAGACACCATAACAACAGATCACCCCATCACAGATGGCACTACCATAGTTTCAGCTGGTGGCAACTTTGAACTTGGATTTTTCAGCCCTGGAAAATCCAAGAATCGATATGTTGGCATTTGGTACAGCAAGATACCAACTAAGGATGTGGTCTGGGTTGCTAACAGAGATACTCCGCTAAACAATACTTCTGGCAAGCTATTGCTCAGAGACAATGGAATCCTAGTACTCCTAGATGGTAACAAAGAAGAACTCTGGTCATCAAATTCATCAATATCCTTGAAAAATCCAGTAGCTCAGCTTTCAGACACAGGAAATCTTGTTGTGAGAGCGGAAAATGACCATAGCTCCAAAATTTCTGCCTGGCAGAGTTTTGATTATCCTGGTAATACTTTGCTACCAGGCATGAAGCTAGGCCGGAACTTAGCCACTGGTCATGCCTGGTACCAGACCTCGTGGAAGAGCACTGATGATCCTGCTGTAGGTGAATACATAGAAATGATAGACATTAACGGATTCCCTGAAATTTTTCAGTTCAGAGGTGCAAACAAATCTCCTATTTCTAGATCTGGGCCTTGGAACGGAGAGATGTTTACTGGCGTGCCTAGCATTAAAGATAACCCCTACTATACGTTTGAGTTTATTATGAACGACAGAGAGATATACTACACATATGAGCCTATAGATAGCTCAGTTCCTAGCAGGGTTGTAATCAATCCAACTGGCACGGTTGACCGCTTAATATGGATTGAGCGCACCAAAAGCTGGATAGTTTACCTGACAGCACAGACAGATAACTGTGATCGTTATGGGATGTGTGGAGCTTTTGGCAAGTGCAATATCAATACCTCCCCTCCCTGTGACTGTCTGAAAGGATTTATCCCAAAATATCCACAAGACTGGGAGGCAACAGATTGGTCAAACGGGTGTGTCCACAGAACTCCACTGGATTGTGAGGATGCTGACAGATTTTTTATATACAGAGGTGTAAAATTGCCAGACACACGCCATTCCTGGTATGACAGGAGCATTGGGCTTGAGGAATGTAAGAGATTGTGCTTGAAAAATTGCAGCTGTACGGCTTATTCTAATGTAGATGTAAGAGATGGTGGAAGTGGATGCTTGCTATGGTTTGGAGACCTAACTGATATTAGGGTTTTGGATGAAGTTGATCAAGATCTGTACGTAAGGATTGCTGTATCAGATTTTGGTAAGAGTATTTATTTCCTTGTTGTACTGCAATTAATTTCTAATATGGTGCAAAATCCTTTAAAACATAGTACTAGTGCATACAAGTTAAACTAGCTAAGGATAAAGTTTCTTTCAACCTTGCTTCATTTTCAAGAGCATTTTACACTTATTCAGATCATATTCTTGATCAATCTACTTGTGGCACCACATTTGAAGTTCTATGACTGATAGGCTGGGAAATAATTCATGACAGATATCTCTCAAAATGGACAGAAGAAACAAGAGGTGACGAAGATAGTTATACCAACAATTTCAGGAATACTTATTCTAAGCTTTTTGGTTTGCTTTGCACTATATAAAAGGAAAAAAGGTCAGATTTTTTACCACCTTAAATATGCAATGTTGAGTGTCAAATATTTTAAGGCATTACTACTAGCTGAAGCACAACTCCTATCTGGCTTGACTAGCTGTTTTTAGAAATGATTATGCTACAGTATTAAGTGTCAAATATTTTCACGCCAAACTCTTCATTCACTGCAATGATTTCTAAAAAATCTTCTATTTACTATTTTACAGGAGCTAAGATTGGCAAGGAAGACTATGATTTACCATTATTCACTTTGGAAACTGTAGTCTATGCAACAAACAACTTTTCTTCTGATAATCTTATTGGAGAGGGTGGTTTTGGACCTGTTTACAAGGTATTGAATTGCACAAAACTTGGGCTCTTTTAGTCATGCTGAGGAATCAAAGACAATATTACATGCTATGGTAAAACTATTGCAGGGTAAGCTACCAACTGGAACAGAAATAGCGGTCAAGAAGCTTTCTGAAAATTCTGGCCAAGGTGTTAAGGAGTGGGAGAATGAAGTGAGCATAATTGCCAAACTTCAACATAGAAACCTTGTCACGCTTCAAGGTTGCTGCGCCGAGGGAGGACAAAGGATACTAATCTATGAATATATGCCAAACAATAGTTTGGACTACTTCATATTTGGTTAGATTTTCTTGACTTCTAAATCGAAAAAACCAGCAGTGTGACAATAGCTACTAAATTTCTCCTACAAAACTGAATCAACAATAATATGTATGCAGATGAGAGCAGAAAAGGAATACTTACCTGGCAAAAACGCTTTGAAATTGCTGCGGGAATATCACGTGGACTCCTTTATCTTCATCAGGACTCCAGATTCAAAATTATACATAGAGATCTGAAGGCGAGTAACATATTACTGGATGCTGAATTGAATGCCAAGATTTCTGACTTTGGCCTTGCTAGAATTGTAGGAGAAGATGATGCTCTGGCAAGAACAAAGAGAATTATAGGAACATAGTAAGTTTCATTAGCATCAAAACATTAATGCACTGTGCTAATCAATTAATAACTTAAGTTGGTCTGTTGGTGTTGATGTTTGATGCAGTGGGTACATGTCACCCGAGTATGTCGTTGATGGCAACTTTTCTGTAAAATCAGATGTTTTCAGCCTTGGAGTGATTTTATTGGAACTCATTAGTGGAAGGAAGAACAGGACATTTCATCATTCAGATCATCACCACAATCTTCTGGGTCATGTAAGTATATGTGATTTTGTACCTTTTTACTAATTTGTTGAATCAGATGAATAACGAGTTTGGTTATACTATACTGTAGGCATGGCTATTGTGGAATGATGGTGACCCTACAGAACTAATGGATAATTGTGTGAGAGACTCTTATGTGGAATCTCAAGTGCTAAGATGCATTCATGTAGCTCTTCTTTGTGTTTCGAAACTACCAGAAGACAGACCAACAATGGCATCAGTAGTTTTCATGTTGGAGAATGAGGAAGTGGCTTTACCTAAACCTAAAGAGCCAGGTTTCTTTGTGGAAAGGAATTCAACTGAAGCATCTTCCAGAAATGTGGAAATATACCACTCTGAAGTTGCAAAGATGACATTCAGCATTCTTGAACCTAGATAAAAACAACATACAATTTTTTGAGTGGGTACATAACCAAAATGAACACTAAGATTAAGATTAAGATTAAGATTGTACCTCTCCGTATCATTTATCTTATCCAACAGAGTGCAATTTTTCCACATTGTCTCCACTATATATATATAGTGTTGAGAAAGAAGATGTAGAAGAAGTTTTTATTACTTGCTTGCCTCAATGAGGAGACAATAGATAAATATATATACAGACTAAGAGACACAATCCTAATAGACACAACCCTACACAACTTCAACAGCTATATCTCTACAGACACAACTTTTGTGTTTCAACACTCCCCCTCAAGCTGGAGCATGTATATCATATGCACCAAGCTTGTTACAAATGTATTCAATCCTATGACTTCTTAAAGCTTTAGTAAATATATCAGCTAATTGATTATTTGAGCCTATAAAAGATGTAGTAATATCTCCAGAAGTAACTTTGTCTCGAACAAAATGGCAATCAATTTCAATGTGTTTCGTCCTTTCATGAAAAACTGGATTTGATGCAATATGCAAAGCTGCTTGGTTATCACAAATGAGCTTCATGGACTCCTTTGTACAAATCTGCAGTTCGGTAAGGAGGTTTTTCAACCACACAAGTTCACATGTTCCAACGGCCATAGATCGATATTCGGCTTCTGCACTTGATCGAGCAACAACATTTTGCTTTTTACTTTTCCAAGAGATTAAGTTGCCACCAAGAAAGATACAATATCCAGATGTTGATTTTCTATCCAATGCACCTGCCCAATCTGCATCTGTGTACCCAATAATTTCAAGGTTTCCATGGTCTTTGTATAACAAACCAGTGCCTGGAGATTTTTTAATATATCGTAAAATCCGAATGGCAGCTTCCCAATGACTTTCACGTGGAGATGCCAAGAACTGACTAACAACACTTACCGCAAAAGAGATATCAGGTCGAGTTACAGTTAAATAAAGTAATCTTCCAACCAATCGTCTATATTTTCCCGGATCTTGGATAAGCTCCCCCTGGTCTGGTAGGAGTTTGATATTTGGATCCATAGGAGTGTCAAGAGGTTTGCAATTCATCATACCTGTGTCTTCTAGTATATCCAATGCATACTTTCTTTGTGATATGCAAATTCCTTGCTTGGATTGTGCTACTTCAATTCCCAAAAAGTATTTTAACTTCCCCAGATCTTTTGTTTCAAAATGTTGGAATAGATGTTGTTTCAACAATTGTATTCCTTCAACATCATCTCCTGTAATGACAATATCATCAACATATACAACAAGATAAATGATCTTACCATGTTGATGTCTATAAAAGACGGAATAGTCAACTTTGCTTCGATCTAAACCAAAATTTTGCACTACTATGCTGAACCGTCCAAACCAGGCACGAGGAGATTGTTTTAGACCATAGAGAGAACGTTTGAGCTTACAAACCAAGTTACTCCCCCCCTGAGCAACAAACCCAGGAGGTTGCTCCATGTAGACTTCTTCCTCTAAATCTCCATGCAGAAAGGCATTTTTAATATCTAACTGATGCAAGGGCCAATGATGAACGACAGCCATAGAAAGAAAGATTCTGACCGAAGCAATTTTAGCTACTGGTGAAAAGGTGTCAGTGTAATCAATCCCAAAAACCTGTGTATATCCTTTAGCTACCAGTCGAGCTTTAAGTCTATCAACTTGTCCATTGGGCCCAACTTTCACAGTATAGATCCATCGGCAACCAACAGTTGTTTTACCTTCGGGTAATGAAACTAACTCCCAAGTTCCCGATGAATGAAGAGCAGCCATTTCATCAATCATAGCCTGACGCCAACCAGGGTGGGAAAGGGCTTCTTTAACAGATTTAGGGACAGAAACAGAAGATAAACATGTGATAAAAGCATTATATGAAGGTGAGAGATTATCATATGAAATAAAGTTGTATATGGGAAAGGGATTTCGTGATGACCTGTTACCTACACGACTTGCAATAGGAGAGCTTGTTGCCGGAACCGGGTTCGAGGGCATAGATAGCTCGAGAGATGAATCAGTTGGGATTTCATCGATTTGAACTGTCGCGGGTGGTCGAGAGCGGCGATGATAAGTGTAAGGAAAGGGGGTAACACCGTTGTTTTGTAAAGGAGGTTCAGTAGGTGAGGGACTAGGATTTCTAGGTGATGACGGATCTTGAGGTAAATGTACCTCGGTCCCTCCTTGAAAAGTAGGAACAGGAAGAACATCAAGAAAATGAGAGATGGAGGTCGGTAAACTAGACGAAAAGAAAGGTGTTGATTCAAAGAAAGTAACATCAGAAGATACATAAAATCGATGCTTATCAGGAGAATAACATCTGAAACCCTTTTGCAACCTAGAGTACCCAACAAACATGCATTTTAAGGATTTTGGAGAAAATTTATCACGCCCTGGGGTAGTGTCCCGGACAAAACAGGTGCACCCAAAAATTTTTAAAGGAAGAGTATGAAGAGACTTATCGGGAAATAAAATATTATAAGGTATCTTACCATGTAAAACAGATGAAGGCATACGATTTATTAAATAACAGGAATGAAGGATAGCATCTGCCCAGAATTCTGGAGGGACTTTATAGTGGAGAATTATGGTGCGGGCTGTTTCAACGAGATGCCGGTTTTTACGTTCAGATACCCCATTTTGTTGTGGAGTATCGGGACAAGATGACTCATGGAGGATGCCCGCTGAATCAAGAAAGTTAGATAAAGGAGTTGTAAAGTATTCTCCAGCATTATCACTTCGTAAAGTTTTAATAGACACCCCAAACTGATTTTTTATCTCATTAACAAATTTTTGAAGAACATTAAGTACTTCAGAACGGTTTTGCATTAAAAAGACCCATGTACAACGAGAAAAATCATCAGTGAAGGTAACAAAATATTTAAAACCAAGAATTGAATTATAACGAAAAGGTCCCCAAACATCAGTATGAACTAAGGAAAAAGGGAAAGTAGCTCTTTTATTAACACGATTAGGAAACGATGTTCTAGAATGTTTGCCAAGCTGACAGGCTTCACACTCTAGGGTAGATAAGTGAGACAAACTAGGGACAAGTCGCCGTAATTTTTTAAGGCTAGGATGTCCTAGTCGGTCATGGGCAAGGGAAAGAGGAATGGTAGCAGTGCAAACTGTAGAAGGGTTTGGGGTAGATAATCGATAAAGTCTTTCTGATTCATACCCCGAGCCAATCATCTTCCCCGAACGACGGTCCTGCATAATGACAGAATCAGAAGAAAAAGTGACCGTGCAGTCCAAAAATTTTGTAAGTTGATGAATAGAAATTAAATTGAAAGGACAGTTAGGTATATAAAGAATTGAAGAGAGAGGCAAAGTAGGAAGGGGGAAAGCCTTTCCAATTGCAGTAGCCGTACTCTTGGACCCATTACCGAAAACAATAGATGGAAGGGACTTAGACTTGGTGAAATGAGAAAATAAAGATGAGTTACCAGAGATATGCTCAGAGGCACCTGAATCGATAACCCATGGTCCGCTCAGGCCAGATTGTGATACAAGGGCAGTATGAGTTCCATCAGTGTAGGCTGCAGGAGTTAAACCAGAAGCTTTGGGAGTGGCTTTAAATCGAACAAACTCTTCATACTCAGCAGCGGAAATGGTTCGAGAATTTGGTTCCCCAGGTTGAGATTGAGCAACACTTGCTTGCGTACGTACCGGTCTCCCATGAAGTTTCCAACACTGATCTCGTGTGTGCCCAGTTCTATTACAATAATCACACACTCTAGTGTTTTTCTGTCCACCACGATTGTTAGTTCGTCCACGACCACCTTGTGTGACTAGAGCAGATTGTTCGGTAGTGGATGTGTGAGTACCCGGAATGGAGGTGACCTGCAAGAGCCGTTTGAACAACTCGGTGGTCCCCGGGACAATGTTGCTTCCAAGAACTTGATTCCGGATGCTTTCAAATTCTGGACCTAATTTGGTTAAGAGAAGTATGACAAAGAATTTCTCTCGTTGGGTAAGTTGCTCTGCGGGTGTACCACCAATAGGCATGAGTGTACCAAACTCAGCAATCAAACTTTGGGCTTTGCCAAGAAAAGTTTCCATATCAATACCATCTTTCTTCAAGTTAACCAAATTGTCAACAACATTATAGAATTGAGAGACATCATTAGTGTACAGAGATTGAGCTTGACTCCACACCCCGACACATGTCTTAAAGGGCCGGAATAAAGGCAACAATTGTGGAGAAAGAGACTGCCAAAGGAGACTACAAAGTTGAGCATCTAACCTTTGCCAAACTGTCTTTTCTTTTTCCGGTATCATATCCACTTCTTTTTGCAAGTGGTCAACAACACCTTGGCCCATAAACCATAATTCTACGGCATCCGACCAAGAGTGGTAATTTTGAGAACCACATAATCTTTCAGAAGTGATTACCGGGTTTCCAGACAGATTAGGCACATAAACAGAGCTCGAAGAAGTAGATAAATTATTGGCAGGAGAAATAGTACCCGAATTATCAGAATTTCCGTCGGAAGACATAGTGACCAAAAATAAATCTGATTGCACGGAAGGAAAGGAGGAGAGCCGACGATACGATCTGGAAAATCTCGCCGGAAAAGGCCGCCGGAGATGGCCTCACACGCCGGCGCGTGGTGTCGGAGCGCCGGCGACGCGGTGGCGCGTGGAGGCGCGTGGAGGAGATTCCGGCGACCGGAATTGATGGGTAATGGTCGCCGGAGGATGGGTAAGGCGGCTGTAGTACTAATTTGATAAAATATCTCACCAATAGCAAGTAATTTGAAAAATTAATTTCGAATGAACAGTAAATGTACTGTTCACCGGAAAAAAAAATTCAAATTTTGACTTTTGGCTCTTGATACCATGTTGAGAAAGAAGATGTAGAAGAAGTTTTTATTACTTGCTTGTCTCAATGAGGAGACAATAGATAAATATATATACAGACTAAGAGACACAATCCTAATAGACACAACCCTACACAACTTCAACAGCTATATTTCTACAGACACAACTTTTGTGTTTCAACATATAGGACATTGTTCAAGTGAGTCTACCCATTCCCACGAGTCCGTGTGGACAATTCTCATCCATTGATCTTGACATCACTAATGGCTAAGATTTGATAGCATTATTTTTGAATTTCCTTATCAGTTGTATGGGCAAGGGTAGTCCCGTAATTAGTCTGTGCAATTAAAAGTGGTAATATATTATTTTTTGAGATTTTGCATGATTTTAGAGAGTGTTTATGTATTTACCGTAAAGTTGTTCTAGTTGTGTGTGCATCCTTCTGTGTTTGACCGTGCACATTTTGATCAACATCTGTGCATCCTTGTGTGTTTTTGATGTGCAACTACATGATATTTACGTGCACTGTCATAGTCTACGTGTTTTGTAGTGGACTGTGTTGTGTTTGTGACTTACAATGTATAGGGAGTCAATTTTGGGATGTTACTGTTTTTTATTGTGCAGCTTTTGGAATTGTAGTGTGCAATCGCAGCAGTGGTTCTGGTTGCGAATTGTGCATCCTTCTGTGTTCGACTACGCACATTTTGCTGAAAAATCAATTGTGCAAGCTATAGTATAACCTATCTAAGGAATCAAATCCTTAATTAATCCCCTAAAATCCGGACGGAATTTACTACCCAAATCCCTAAAATACCCCTACCTTAATTAATCTACCCAATTCGCCGGTCAAAAAAATTAAAAAAAAAAATAAAAAAAAAAAAAACCCACCTTTTTATATATACAATTGATCTCAAGATTCCAAATGCCCAGATTTGTCCACACGAATTCATGGAAAATGATGGACTCATTTGATCATATATATATATATATAGACTTGCGTTCAAATGAGGACAAGTATATTATAGAGGACTGTGAGGACAGATGTACTGTTTGCCATTAGCCTGTATGTTGTGTGCATGGCCGTATGTAGTCGTGTGCCACAGTTTGTATGTCGCCTGCATACATTTGTTAATTAATAGAGCCTGGGTTCGAAACCTGATGCTTACATGTATTCTTGTGTGCCATTATGAATTAAATTGTGTGCCTGATAGTAATTTGTTGTGTGCCCATTATTTGTCCTCACAGTCCTCTATATATTGTTGTCCTCATTTGAACTCAACCCTATATATATATATATAGGGATGAGTTCTGGTGCGGGGTTGCTCCCAGGTAAAAAATGGAATTAGATTTGAGTCATTGATCAAATCTAGATCAATGACTAAAATCAATGAATTTTTTTTTTTTAAATGCGCGTCCTCCATTAATGCTCTCATCTGAGCACCTGGATGGCAGACAACCTAAAGGAATTCATGAAATTGTTTATGAAATTAATAAAAATTCATTTTATTTTATTTTTTTTTTAAGATGAAAAAACAAAGCACCTTAAGAAGGAAAACAATGCACCTTAACAAGGAAACTCACGCACCTAAAACTTTAGACCGACGCACCTTAAGACACAAACCACGCACCTTAAGAAGGAAAACCACGAACCTTAAATTTGACCTAGATGCAAAATTATCAAATTTCACCGCAATTTTTTTTTATTTTGTTAATCCTGGACGTTGATCTTGACAAGATCAATGGCTCTCATCTCACCCGGCAACCGCACCTGACACACACAACCGCACAGGAACCCATATATATATATATATATATATATATATATATATATATATATAACTTAAATGTTTGTATGTTAATATATTCAATAATAGTTCTTTACTAAATTTTCAAGCTAAACCTAATTTTGTTATCCTATATTTATTTCATTGAATTAAGTATAGAACTAACAACTAAGTCTAATCTAATCAATATATCAATTATTGAGAAAAATGCATTTTGAAGCAAATACACTGAATGTTCTTTTTTTGTCAAAATTGCATTAAATGAGGAGGTTTAATTTCATTAAGTAAGAATCTCTTCTTTCAAGAAACAAGAGTGCCATTGCCCATTGACCACTTGCTTTTCCTTTTTGTCAAAGTCGCTGATTTCTGAACATCATTAGCTTTTTTACCCTGTACAAGATTTATAAACTTCAAGCATAAAATCTGGGAAAACAGAAAATGAAATCAATGGAAGGGCAAGGGCTCTATTTCTTTTGCTCCATTTTACTATCTCTATTCACACTTTGCACCTCAGTAGACACCATAACAACAGATCATCCCATCACAGATGGCACTACCATAGTTTCAGCTGGTGGAAACTTTGAACTTGGATTTTTCAGCCCTGGAAAGTCCAAGAATCGATATGTTGGCATTTGGTACAGCAAGATACCAACTAAGGATGTGGTCTGGGTTGCAAACAGAGAAACTCCGCTAAACAACACTTTTGGCAAGCTAATGCTCAAAGACAATGGGATCCTAGTACTCCTAGATGGTAGCAATGAAGAAATCTGGTCATCGAATTCATCAATATCCATGAAAAATCCAGTGGCTCAGCTTTCAGACACAGGAAATCTTATTGTGAGAGAGGGAAATGACCATAGTTCCAAAAATTCCGCCTGGCAGAGTTTTGATTATCCTGGTAATACTTTGCTACCAGGCATGAAGCTTGGCAAGAACCTAGCCACCGGTCACGCCTGGAGCCTGACATCATGGAAGAGCAATGATGATCCTGCTCTAGGTGAATACACAGAAATGCTGGATGTTGATGGATTCCCTCAACTTTTTCTTTACAGGGGTGTAAATAAATATATTACTTTTAGACATGGGCCATGGAATGGACAGATCTTTACTGGTACACCTAATCTTAAGAACAATTCATATTATACGATTGGGTTTTTTATGGATCAAAGGGAGATATACTACAAATATGAGCTTGTTAATAGTTCAGCTCCAAGCAGGGTCGTATTAAATTCAGCTAGCACTATTCAGCGCTTAATTTGGATTGAAAGAACCCAAAGTTGGTCTGTTTACTTGACAGGTCAAACAGATAACTGCGACAGTTATTCATTGTGTGGAGCTTTTGGTAAGTGCAATATCAACAACTCCCCTCCCTGTGACTGTCTTAAAGGATTTATGCCAAAATACCCACAAGACTGGGAGGCAACAGATTGGTCAAATGGGTGTGTCCGCAGAACTCCATTGGATTGTGGGGATGCTGACAGATTTTTCATATACAGAGGTGTAAAATTGCCAGACACACGCCATTCCTGGCATGACAGGAGCATTGGCCTTGAGGAATGTAAGAGGTTGTGCTTGAAAAATTGCAGCTGTACAGCTTATTCTAATGTAGATGTAAGAGATGGTGGAAGTGGATGCTTGCTCTGGTTTGGAGACCTAACTGATATTAAGGAGTTTGATCAAGTTGACCAATATCTCCAAGATCTATATGTGAGGATAGATGCATCAGATCTTGGTAAGAGCAATTTCCTTGTGGCACTATAATTAATTTCTACTCTGGTGCAAAATTCTTGATAATATAGTACTAGCAGTCTAGCACAGAGCAAGATAAACCAGCTAAGGATAAAGAAAGATTTTCTGTCAACATTGTTTGATCTTTAAGAACATTTAACACTTATTCAGGTTGTATTCTTGCTCAGTCATAAACTGCATTCTCTCTATGTTAAAAATTGTTCTCATAGATTTAGTTACTTCAGCTATCCATGATGAGCATACAAGGTACATTGTATCGGACTAACATTCAAGTGGTTATATTGTTCAAAAATTAATGCATTAGCATCTGAATGCTAGTGTGTTAGTACAACCATTTATTTAATAGGCTGCACACAGTTAAATGCACCCAAGGTACAGAATTGAATGCTTTGGGTAAATAGTTAAATTATTCAAAAATCTACTTATTGATTGCACAAGTTGCACACATTTGAAGTTTGAGATATGACTGACAGAGAAATTGTTGACAGATAATTCCCAAAATGGACAGAAGAAACAAGAGGCAATGAAGATAGTCATACCAACAATTTCAGGGATACTTATTTTAAGTTCTTTCGTTTGGTTTGCACTATATGAAAGGAAAAAAGGTTAGATTTCTCACTCCAGTCCAATATGTGAATGTGTAGAGTCAAGTATTTTTCAGGCATTTGAATCGAAACTCCTACCTAGCTTGACTACCTAATTTGTGAAATGATTTTACTACAGAATTAAGATAAATCCATCATTTACAACAACAATTTCTAGAACTTCTTATAGTCTCCTATTTTACAGGAGCTGAAATAGACAAAGAAGTCCATGATTTACCATTGTTCACTTTGGAAACAGTTGTTTCTGCAACAAACAACTTTTCTTCTGATAATCTTATTGGAAAGGGTGGATTTGGACATGTTTACAAGGTACTGAACTTGCATAAAACTTGGGCTCTTTAGTCATGCTAAGAAATCAAAAACAGTACTACATGATTTGGTAAAACAATTGCAGGGTAAGCTATTTGTTGGAACAGAAATAGCAGTTAAAAAGCTTTCAGAAAATTCACGCCAAGGAGCTCAGGAGTGGGAGAATGAAGTGAGGATAATTGCAAAACTTCAACATAGAAACCTTGTCACGCTTCAAGGTTGCTGTGCCGAGGGAGGACAAAGGATTCTAATATATGAATACATGCCAAATAATAGCTTGGACTACTTCGTATTTGGTCAGATTTTCTTGACTTCTAAATCGAAAAAACCAGCAGTGTGACAATAGCTACTAAATTTCTCATAAAAAACTGAATCAACAATAATATGTATGCAGATGAGAGCAGAAAAGGAATACTTACATGGCAAACACGTTTTGTAATTGCGACGGGAATATCACGTGGACTCCTTTATCTTCACCAAGACTCCAGATTGAAAATTATACATAGAGATCTGAAGACGAGCAACATATTACTGGATGCTGAATTGAACCCCAAGATTTCTGACTTTGGCCTTGCTAGAATTGTAGAAGAAGATGATGGCCTAGCAAAAACGAAGAGAGTTATAGGGACATAGTAAGTTTATCAGCATCAAAACACTAAAGCACTGTGCTAATCAATTAGTAACTTTATTGGAGCAATTGTTTGATGCAGTGGTTACATGTCACCCGAGTACGTCGTTGATGGAAACTTCTCTGTAAAATCAGATGTTTTCAGCCTTGGAGTGATTTTATTGGAACTCATTAGTGGAAGAAAGAACAGGGCATTTCATGATTCAGATCATCACCACAATCTTCTGGGTCATGTAAGCATATATGATTCTCAACCTTATATTTTACTAACCTGTTGAATCAGATGAGTAACTAGTTTGGTTGATTGGTTCTACTGCAGGCATGGCTATTGTGGAATGATGGCAACCCTTTAGAACTAATGGATAATTGTGTGAGAGACTCTTATGTGGAATCTCAAGTACTACGATGCATTCATGTAGCTCTTCTTTGCGTTTCGAAACTACCAGAAGATAGACCAACAATGGCATCAGTAGTTTTCATGTTGGAGAACGAGGAAGTAGCTTTACCTAAACCAAAAGAGCCAGGCTTCTTTGTGGAAAGGAATTCAACCGAAGCATCTTCTACAGATAAGGAAAGATGCTGCTATGAAATCGCAATGATAACATTCAGCACTCTTGAAGGTAGATGAAAACAACATAATTTCGATTGTATCTCTCTATGTATCACATTGCATCTCCCTCTATTGCTTCTAACTCAATCGTACTCCCACCATTTGGAATGAACACTGCTGTAAAATGAAATTGATTACTGAATCCATTATGGCATTGCTAAATTAGTGCGTAATCTATACATCAATCGTATTCCCCGTAGTCCAGATTGATGGGAGGGGAGGCAGCCATTTGAACAAATCTATGAGGGAGATGACAGCGATGGTTGTCTCCCTCCTCGCCAAGATCAACGAAGGGGGAGGTAGTTGATCGGCGACGATGGAGGTAGTTGCCAATCCCTTCAACAAATCGATGACGGGGGAAGCAGCAATGGTTGCAATACCCCTCGTCCTGATCGGTGCATTATCTTCATCTTTGCTCAAATTGAATTTGTGTCAAGATTTTTTTTCCCATCTTCATGGAATACAGTATGGAAGATAGTCTTACGGGGAACAGGAAGTACCATTTTAGTGTAGAATTAGATATAACCCGTTCAGGTTCCAGTAACAATTCTGGGAAATTTTGGTTCCGATTCTAGATTTAAAATATAGTAATATCAAATATTTAAACTTTAAAGTTTAATTTTAAAAATAAAAATAATTTTAAGCTTGCAATTAATTTTTTTTTTCTGGTTCTTTATTTTAATAAATTGAAACCGAAAATTTTTGGACTGGAACCCTAGGGCAATGTTCCAGTTTTAGTAAGTCTTATGTAGGTTTTTTGTTAGGTCTAAACATTAACCTACAATATGTTTGACCTAGCCTAAATTTTTTTTAAAAGGTCTATTTAATATGTAGATCATTGGAGAGACTCTATTGTAGGCTTTAAAAGACTTTGAGCCTATTTAAGATCTACACATTATACACTTTATCAGGCTTATATATTTGTAAAAAAAATAATTAAGCATAATATAACAATAATAGACAAACAGTTGCAGTCGTAATTCAGTCATAATAAGTGTGCAAGTAGTAATAACAACAAGCATCCTCAACCTCAATTGAATTTTTAAAAAATTTAGGGCATGTTTACTAATTGTTACCTTGGATGACATTGTTGGCTGCTTGCATAAAGTGGTGACCCCGTCCGCGCAGATGGCTAACTTGTGCCCGCCCATGAAAGTGGTTAACTCGTACACCATTGGCCACTTTGCGTTAGTGGTGACCCCGTCCTCGCATATGGCTAACTTTTACCTGTTCGTGAGAGCAGTTAACTCGTACACTGTTGGCCACTTGCCGAAAGTGGTGACCCCGTATACGCAAATGACTAACTTATGTCCATTCGTTCGAATAGTTATCTTAGACATTGCTAGTTATTGGTTGGTTGTTGATGTTGCTTCCGGGCTGCACTCAGTTTTGCCCTCCGATCCCGCCTTAGTTTAAATTTGGATTTAGTTTTGTATTGCCCTATTTAATTCATTAGTGGCATGCATAAATGATGCTCGTTTTGGCCTGCGTACAACTTGGATTTATCAGTTTAATCCATGCGTTTTATCGTTACTATATTGTTGACCTGTGTGTCATTATGTTGTGCGGCTTGTGAGCCATCCTTTTTGGCAACCTATGTGCCGTTATGAGTCGTTTGTTGTTGGCAACCTATGTGCCGTTATGAGTCGTTTGTTTTTGGCAACTTGTGTGTCATATTGTGTTTTGAGTGGCCTGTGGTCCTTCTAGTTTGTTGTATTTTTGCTGGTTGACATGCTGCTGATTTTCAGTTCAGGTGTGTTGTTTTGGGGTCTCTTAGTATGCACTTGGGTGATCGGCTAGGACATGAGAGCTAGCCTAGACTGGGGTAGCGTCTGGCGCCTTCTTTGGGTTTGTGGTTTGGCGGTTAGCAGTCGATTGTTTGGTTTTATGTTAGTTGGCTTTGTTACTACTGTCTTCTTAGTGATTTTTTTTTATTGCTCAAGTTATTTGTACTTGGTGCCTAGAGGGCTCTATTTGCTTAGGTAATTTGTATAGACTTAGGTATTTTTGTAAAAGAGGGTTTTCCTCTTGGTTCTACATGGCTGAGGGGAATGTTTTCTTTGCTGCTTCTATTTATTTGTTTATTTAATGAATAAAATGATTTTTTATTTTATTTTTTTTAAAAAAAACCCTTAACCATAAATAATACTTAAATCCTATTTTGATTGGAAGACTCAAACATTAAACCTCCCACATAAAAAGACAATCAGATATCAATGGACCACAAGCCACTTAGTATTTATTACTTCCTTATTGCATAGAAATTTTTAAAACCCATTAAAAATATTTTTAATGTTCTAAAATTAGTGTTACTTTTTCTTGTAGGATCAGAATTGATATTAATATTAAATCAAAATTTTGAATAGAAATATCTATCATTTATATGTCACTATATTTGTGTATCGTCAATAATATAAATTTGACATTTTATTTAAAATTAAATTAAACTTTTATATACCAGGACTATGTGGTCTAATGGTATCCGGGTTGGACTTCCATTTGGAAGATTATGAGTTCAAGCCTCAGTGGAGGCGTTATTGGTTCTTTGTGTTTCAGTAGATTGAGAAAGTATATGAACAGATACTATAATGTAATAGAGCCAGTAGCTTTCAAAAAAAGAAAATTAAACTTTTATATCGTATTTTAAAATAGTATGACATTTTAATTTGGACAATATAATCTTAATTTTCATATCACGATCAATAATACTTTTAAAAAAATAATTTTTAACAAAATTTTAACTAATAATAAAGATATATTTCAATTAATTTTACAAAAAAAAAAAACAATTAGAACATTAAAATTATTATTTTTTAAATCAAAATATTAATTATAAAATATAAGTATTACTCAAGAATTACACTAATTTTTCTTCTACAATGGAAGCTGCAGTTTAGAGACTTTTTTCCTCAAAATCTTTGAAAGAATACATTGGAGATGAAGGGAGTTTGCTCCTTTGTATGGTAATCGCAAAGTTAACGAAGCACCCTAGCTTTTTAGATTTTTATTTTCTAATTATGATACATAAATAAATAATAAAATTATACTATATTCAATTAAATGAAAAATAAATATATTTCCATATATTTGTTCAAACTTTTAAATAAAAATAAATTTATTCATATAAAATTATTATGCATTTTCATCTAAATATCTTTAATAATCACTTATCATCCTTATATATGTATCCAATAATGGTCAAATTAGCCACTAAATTAGATGTGACAATACTATTAGGCATTTAAACTCAAAAACAAAAATGCAATTAGACCATTAAACATGATGAGATTATAAGGCAGTTTTAATTACTCTACAATATTGCCTACTTCATGTCCTCCATATTAGTAGACTTCCCAACCTTGCCACTAGATAGGTCCACTTTGTTGTAATTTCATCAACTGTCACATCAATAGCTCATATGCTTTGTGAATTGTGACCAACCTGAATGCACAATCAATGAGTGCCAAGTTAGCTCTATTATAACTTGTCATCATTATGCTTCCTTACAACTTAGTATAAATAGAGCATCCTAACTAGTGTGAGCATCTCCATTAGGAGCTTTTGGACCATATTTTGAGGAGAAAATAATGAGTTGGAGGAGAGAGAGTGAAGAGAGAGAGAGAGAGTAAAGGAATTCCTCTTGCAAATTGGAAGTTTTTATGGGCCCCATTATGAGAGAGAAAAGTCAAAGACCACATATATGCTGCCAGCGCGTTTAAAGTCTTTTTTTTTTCAGATTATTTTTGCTTTGTTTTTTTTTTTTTCTTATTTTATTTTTCTTCTTTCTCCCTCATCTCTATCCCACATGGTTTCTTAATTCTTATGCAAAAAACCAATCTATTTAGAGCATCCACATTAGTTGAGGAGAATTGGGGGATAATGTAAGAGTGATTAGGAAAGAGAAGATGGGAGGGGAGAGAAAAAAAAGGAAAAAAAAAAAAAGAAAATTAATTTAAAAAAAAAAAAACAAAAAATGACTGTCAGGCGCGCCTAACGACTGCACGCGCCCGCTGTGCGCTATGGTGACAGCCACGCATGGCTGTCACCAGTAGTGCATTATTTCACTTTTTGTGGTGGGTCCCACCATTTCTGAATTCTCCCTTCACTTGCAGGAGAATTATTTCTCAAATAACTCTTCCCCACATTAGCTATTATCTTGGGTGGGGAGAATTAATTATGAAATAATTTCAAATTATCCACAAATGTGGATGCTCTTAAGGATATCCCCAAAAGGGGATTGTTGTTGGATTTTCGAACAGTAAAAAGCTTGGTGAGGGGATCTTTAACAAATGTGTAGGATGACTTCTTTCTCCTGCAAGAAGGAAGATTTTGTCAGAAAAAAAAAATTAAACTCCTGTCACATCTGAGCTTCTTCCTCTTGAATTTCGCGTCAGTGCTTACTGCTTGGGCTAAATTGAAATTCATTTTATCCTTTTTTTTCTTTTTGCTTTTAAGCTGGCCGTTGGCCAGCTGTTTTTTTTTTTTTTTTTTTTTTTTTTTTTTTTTTTCATGTTGAATTTTATTATTAATTTTCTATATAATTTAAAAAATTGTAAACATTTATAATTTTAAATTTATTTTAATTTTAATATGTATAATTTAAATATAATAAAAATAATAATTGTAATAATAATTTTTATAATGATAATAAATAAAGAAATAATTAAAATATAGTATGATAAAATGGTGGGTCCACTAAAAGTTGTGAAAAAAACTTAAAACTAATGGGAATAAGAGATTTTGTGATTGAGTAATGGATGATGAGGTGGATGTTGGGGCCCACAAAAATCTATGGTAAAATTCCCAACTATTGAGGATGCCCTAAAGATGTCATAAGGGGATCTTCTTCTCACACTTCCCGAAGCTTCCCGATCCCGTGAGGTCAACCTTTAGCTTCCCAACCTCAATCATACCTCTTACATTTGTTTTGTATTTCAATACTTCTAATTAGCATAAACTGAAGCATGTGCTAGGGCATCCTCAATAGTTGAGGATTTTTCTCCAGATTTTTGTGGGTCCCAACATCCACCTCATCTCTCAATCAATCACAAAATCTCTTTTTCCCATTAGTTTTAAATTTTTTCACAACTTTTTGTGGACTCACCATTTTATCTCTAT